AGTTCTCTATTTCATAGGTCGTTATTATTTTGGCGCCAATATTTTAAAATACAAGAATATTATATGTAATTATGTTAAGTCAATAATTCATAAGAAAAAATTATTCAACTATGTATTTTAAATTAATAATGTACTATAAATTGTAAAAATCAAAAATAATTTAGTATTGAGCCAATGAGAAGCCGAGAACTGAGTAATATCTAGATTGGTTCTTGAAGACTGAAGAGGAAATGAATGTCCATATCAGTAAATATGTGATCATAGGTACATATCTTATTTAGTCATGTAGGTACATATTATGTAGAGATATTTAAAAAAAATCATCATATTCTAGTAGGTACCAACTTTGAGTTAAATGATATAATTATTTAAATTAACATGATGCATATTGTGATTGCCAAATTTTATATCTATTATTATCTGCCTCACTTGTTGATGGTTTAGTTTTTGAAATTGCATTGTTGACGTCTTTATTCGTTATTGTGAATTTGATATTGTTGCCTGGTTTCTTTTCTAAAACTTGAAATATTGAACGCATAGCTTGCATTGCTGTTTCTTTACATACAAGTTTTATATCAGAACCAGAATAACCATTAGTTTCCTAAAAAATAGGTATTAATTATAACATTATTACATTCATTATTTATAGCATACTTGAGCAAGGCTATCACTATCAATATCGCATTTGATATATTTGTGTTTTTGTAACATTTCGGATAGATAGTATATAAACATATCTTTTCTAGCTTGGACATCCGGCAAGTCGACAAAAATACGTTTTTCAAGACGACGAAAAATCGCAGGATCTAGTTCCCTTAAATAATAACAGATGCATAAATTTAATTTGTATATAAACGAGTTAAAAAGTTAAAGTTAAGTTACTTATTGAATTACTTTTATTTTCATAAGTAACTTCTAACTTAACAAATTAATTTATTTTAAAGTAGCGTTAATTTATTTATTTTTCCTAATATAAATTTCATAGATTTAAAATCGTATTTTGATTTTTACAACTTATTTATATTATATATTGCATATAAAAATCATAATTATGGGAATAACCAAATATTATTTTATGTTATAGTATATGAGTGTTTTACATTATTTCTATATTTGAAATTTCAATAGTTATTAAATAGGAATTAACATAATAAATTAATTTGTATCCAATATTTATGTGTGTAATTTATTAAATTAAACCTAAATACAAATTTAATAATTACAATTTACAAATTCAGTGGGTATCAACAAAAGAAAAAATCAAGTTTAGCCATCATTTTGGAAAACTTGTAGGTAAAAAAATACATTGAAATAATTTATTTGTTTGTTTGATTTTATAATTGATTGAAGTATGTAATAATATTACTTATTCATAGTACCTACCGTAATTATTAATTAATACAATTAAATATTATATTTATTAACAATAAGCAATAGTAAGACTTAATTTAATTTACTTATTTTAATTTTCCACTGTATTATTTATTTKTTAAGTTGTAATAAAAATGTATACCTAATAAATAATAATGTTTAAAAAGCTACATTTTCTATATTCTAGAGAAATAACATTTAATAACATTTATAAATTTTACATTCAATATTGATTAGTATATCACTATAGGGTAGGAAGTCCCTATATCAAAGTTAATTTTTATTTCATTATAATTTACAGGTATTCATGGACTCATGGTCTCATGGAGTATATAAGTACTAAGTAGTAGTACACACTACATAATTTACATAGGTACGTAAAATACTCTATGGAAATCCATGATTACATCTGAAGGTAGATTAAAATTCAATATGAAAATATTATTTTATTATAGTTTAAAATGTAGTTTGTAGGTATAGGTTAGGTATAGATGCTTAGAAATTATTTCCTCTTTTATGTCCTTGCTATCTGCTGCAGATAATCTGCATGTGATATCTATTTCTAAAAATGGTATAATATAATATGTTACATTATATGTAAATTATAATACATATAACAACTATAACACAGTTTACTTTACAATAGAATATACTGTGTCTACTCTGTTTACAGATTTAACTACTTTAAACAATTTTAAACTTTGGGGAAAATTTCTAAAATAAAATTTAATTTAGAGTATATTTTTAAGTGGTAAAAATTGAAAATTCTTAGAACTTTTTTAAATAATCGAAAAAAACAAAAAAAATAACGAAAACTGGTAATTTCTATGCTAAACCAATTTTGGTTTTTAATGTAAGTAACTCAACCTTCCTTTTTTTTCAGGGTTAAACCGACGACGCCGCAGGATTTGCTTCCGCATTACTGCCGTGACGCCTACAACTCAACCTACTGAACCTAAAATGACCTCATATACTTTACATTTTCACCAATTATTTATTTTATCATCGTCTATACATGATTTAAGTTTAATTTTAGAAATAACGACGAGTGAATGGTTTTTGGCTTTTAAATAGATTTATTAAACATGCTCACCATATTTTTATGCTTAAACTATGCATTAATTGAAATTCAGATCTTTGAAAGTTTTAAATACCTACATTTGAATATCATATTTTCAAATCTTTGAGTTTTGTACCATACAAAGATGATCCTGCGACAATACAAACTTCCATTTTTCAAACAGGAACCCCTCTCCCCTTTTCATTTTTAATTATTAAAAAGATTACTTTTATATACTTATCCAAATCAAGTATCAATTGAGTAGTTTTTGAGATTTATAACTTTGTGGGCCAAGGATTATATTATGTCCAAAATAATGATTAATATATATGATATTAATATATACCTACGGTTTGAAAAAAATAGTGATTAGATAAGTTACTACTGATTTATCAATATAATTAAATGTCAATGTTGAACTTTACAGTGATAAGCTATACTATACTAGACACTAGTATAATAATATTAATTATTATTATAATAGTGCCTTAAGTATAATTTATTATACCTAGATATTAGCTACTATATAGAAATACTCAAATACTTATACAAGGCAACAACTGTACAAGGAACAAAATTATTATTTTTTTTATTTTGTATATAAGGACTCTGGATTGTGATTGTGTTTTTAAACCATTTGTTAAATTTTGGTGTCTAAATTATACACGTATATTGTTATAATTTTACCATGGATGATTCGATGTCGCCAATACAAAAATTCGTTTTTCTGAACGCAAGAGACCATCCATATGTATTAATATTTCAGATGTTAGTCTACGAGAAGCTTCATGATCAATACGCTTTGATGCAATTGTATCTAACTCATCAATAAATATTGTACTTGGTGACATTTGCTCTGCCATTTCAAACATTACTTTAATAAGCTTTTCAGAATCTCCTCTCCATTTAGCAACAAGTGTACTAGGTGTGATATTGAAAAATGTTGTTTTACACTCAGTCGCTACTGCTTTAGCAAGCAATGTTTTTCCTGAAAATAGTAGGTATGTATTTTTATTACATATATATATTTTATAATGATACCTGTGATATTATATGATAGTATTTTATTAAAATATGTATACAACATAAGTACCTGTACCAGGAGGACCATAAAATAACATTGCCGACCACGGAGTACAAAGTCCTGTAAATAAGTCAGGATATTTTGTTGGAAGTACGATAGCCTCATCTAATAACTTCTTAGGCGTAGTAAGTCCTTTAATATCTGACCATTTCACATTTGGATTAGTGACTAAAATTTCCTTTAAATTATTTTCATATTAAATATTCTGTTTTATTCCATTTATAGCAGGCGCGGATTCAGGGGGGGGGGGCTATGGGTGCTCGGGCACCTCCTGTCATTTAGCCACCAACAAAATAAATTTATGTTATAAATTAAATTATTTGTTATTTTTCAAAATAAAAATAATAATAATAATATCGGTGCTTTTCGTTATCACCGTCACATACGACAATAATAACTATTATTGTTAATTGTTTTAGAAGTATACTCGTATGTAACAACACGCGTCGACGGCGGAAAGCACCGATAACAATTATTATGGAAAATAAGTTAGCACTAATAAATCAAATAGTAAATGGTAATATTTAAATAAATAGTAAGGTGTAACAATTTTTTTTTTTTTTGAGCACCCCCTGTTAAATTTTTCTGGATCCGGGCCTGATTTATAGGTACCTAATAGTAAATGTATTTTGATTTTGTAGTTATTACTTTTGATATAATTTCAGCATATACACGCCACTCGTCCTTCCAATGGCTGAGATCAATAGAAGGCAAACAGTATTCTTCCTCTAAAGATTCATTGCAAGTATTTATAGGAGTTACTGTAAAAAAAGTTGGATCTATTGATTGGATATCTTGCAAATGTTGACTTGTATTCGATTTTTTTAAAGTTTTGGCTTTATTCTTGGTAACATTATGAATATCAGATTTAACAATATCCAACGATTTACTAATTTGTGGTCTTTTCTGATAACGCAAAAAATAATAATTTTCGTATTCTATAAGAATAGTATCTAAGTCTATGTTATCACAAACTACATGATGACTTGTATTTAAACAAGCTTCTTCTACTAATGTTGATGCCGTTTTGATGTACCTAATTCATAAAAACTATATGTAATAATGATCAGTATTATAATATTTCTAATGATGTTCAAAATTATTATAGCATATTTTTGTACAAGCCAAAAGGAATACATTTTTTTATAGGATTTCGGTCTTAATATGCTAATGAAAAAATAGAGTTAGTAATTTATTTTAATAAAAATTATATTTAGGTTTAAAATAAAATTGTTCAGTAACTAATGGTTAATACATAATATAATATGTTATATATAGATACAATATAGATATAGAAAAGTTAATAAGTTGTAGAAATAGTGAATAGTGAATACCAATAAGCAAATATGATTCTAGCCATTCTATATAGGTCAATTTGTACAGTCAAAAATGAAATATGCAAAACGTGAATACTTTGTGCATTATAAATATTTCACGACGAGAATAACACTTAACAATGTGAGATGAATCTAGATATTATACTATTTGTTATTCATCTCAGACCACAATATGAATATTGTTGCATTATATAACCATTATTTTTAAGTCTGTAAAAAGTTTAATCACTATTAAATTAATAAAAACAAAAAGTTTAAACATATAAACAATATTATTGTTCATATGAAACTATTTTATTGTAATCTGGCAAATTTAAAAACTTATTATCTTTTGAATTCAAATTTAAAACATTCATTACAGTTACTACCCATGCGGCCATGCTACACATTTTAATACATTATGTACAGTTGAGTGGTAACCACTTGCCCACCATTTGAATTATTCCTTGGTGTACATAAAATGTACAATGTATAGAATATTTCATTTTAGGCAGTTGTTATTTTTACATGAAAGTATTTGTTTTCACGTCCTGCCCTGTGATATGTTTGTATAATAATTAATTTACTAACCATGGTCGATAGTAATGGACAGAGTGAAATTGTAGGTTCTGTCTTCTAACATCAGAAGACTTATAAACTGTTTCAAATATGGCTAAAACATTCAAAAGCTTTAATCCAGCATGGAAAAATATTAAATGAATAATGGCAGATAAGGATTTCAGAGAATCCAATGTATTTAGGTATCAGTTTTCCTCAACTCAAAATTTGATTTGCATTTTTTATTGCTTGAGGTCAATGCCATGGGAAATAACATGTGAAAAAATGAACATAACTTCAGGTGATCACAATTTATTGTAATTACAATTGTAATCCAATAATAATATTATATTTTAATATAGGACAAAGCTTTCAAATTTAAAAAAATTAGTTTTATTTAATTATATTTTAATTATATTTTATTCTTTACTTAAGATTACAATTTAATAATTTAATAATATTTAAAATATTAAAGGAAATAAAATTAATTAAATGAAATGAAATGCAGAATATAAATATTGTAACTGTATAAAAAAACATTTTTTGAATGCACATGAAAAATATTGGATTGCTCAAATAGAAGGAAAACGACTGGCTTCACTAGCTTCAGAAGTAATTGGAAAAGAATTTGAACAGCGTTTAATGTTACTAAAATATATTGCCGATGCATGGGAACAAAATAAAAACATTATGCCTACTGACATAGGTTTGTACCATTGATTATAGAATAGATCTATTCTATAATCAATGGTTTGTACTATTACCTATTATTCTTAATTATTTAAATATAAATACATTTGTATTTTATGTATATAAACTATTATATTTAAATTCACTACTGAATAAACAATAACCTGAAACTAACAGTATAGAAATTAGAAATAATTGAACTGGAACAATTTGATATCTATATGAAAACATAAAAGTATTAGAAATAGAGGAAGATAATAGCATACAAATAAATCACCACAATTTAGAAGATACTTTACCATCTCTACCACCAAGAGTGCATAAAAGAGGTCGACCAAAAGGTAACATTATATCTTTCTATATTTTTAATATAGGTACTTATTTTAACTATTATTACTATCATTAAATGTAGGTAAAGACAAAACTGTGATTGGTGTTCCTAAGAAAAGAAAACTTAAGACAAACTTACTTCCGTTTTGAAAAATTTCCAGCAAATACAAAGCAATATGAAATATTATGTGTTGGTTTGTACATGACACTATTACTAAATCTGCTGTATACCAAAATAAAATTATTATACATGAAGAAAATGTTGAAACTTTGCCTGAAAAGGTTTCAAATTCAGTTTTAGATAAGGCAATAACAATTGAAGAATGAAGTGTTATTTATTCAAAGAAAGTTGGCTTGCTATCCAACAAGTCATTAAAATGAAAAAATTAACCTTCTTGAATTTGTCTCTTATGCTCAAATGATGCTACCACAAAATCAAATTGTTGTAATCGCTGTTTAGAGTGGTTCCACTTTATTTGTGTTAATGTAAACCATAATTAAAATAAAGAAAATGTGGTTTTGCAAATTTTGCATATGAATAAATAAATAATTGCCAAAAATATAATTTATTTTAATAAAATAATATAATATGAAATTATATGAATACAAAGAAATTGTAATAAAATATGAATAGCAATAAAGTAACATAAATACAAAAAAAATTATAATAAAGTATTAATAACCAATGCAATATGAATACCAAAAAAATTATTGTAAATAAAAAATATTTTTATGATGGAGACATTGAGAATTGAGATAAATATATTGGGGACATTGGAGTACGATAGCGGAATCGGTATATCCCGACCGCTGCCGCAGTCGACCGGCCGACCGTTTGCCGTTTGGGTACGATAACCGAAATGTACCAATTATTATACTATATATTTAGATTTACACCACAAATTATGAAGTTTTATACCATGAATTTTATACTCGTTTATACTACATGATTGATTTATTTTATTTACTTACTTTAATTATACCCTCACGACTGACTTGAGCACTTGACTTATTAAGATTAATCAGTATGACTGTATTGTAATTTTAACATTGATTAAACATTAAACCTCGGTTAAAACTGGGACATATTTATAAATAACTTATTATAAAGAAATATTTCTTATCAATATTACTACCAATCACAGGGCAGAACGTGAAAACAAATAATTTCACGTCGGACATGAAAATAACCATTACCTACGTTCATTTTAAGATCTACCTACACCGGCTACACCTGTCACCTACTGGCTATTACTACCTTAAATATTACATATTTAAAGCTACTATACCTACCTCAAAATATTATTTACTTTACGATTGGTGCGTACTGCATAGGTGTATAAAACAATAAAATTATACTTAACTATTCGTACCCTTCAAATCTTAAAAAGTTCTCTATCAAGTAAAGAATTGACTTTTTTCTTTCCTGTTTCTTCTTTTTTTCCTGTGAATGCATTTTTAATATAATTTATTTTTAAATTATTAAAAATTACATTTAAAATTAAATTAAATAAATCTGAACCAAATATAATTATATTCTTTCCTGTTTCTTCTTTTTTTCCTGTGAATGCATTTTTAATATACTTAATTTCCTTTTGAATTATTAAAAATTAATATTAAAAATAAAATTAATAAAATTAAACAAATCTGAACCAAATATAATTCTATATAGTATCACCAATTCTTATAACTTATATAAATACATTTTTTTTCTGGGATTAAAGTCTGTCTAAGAAATACGTGTACATAATATACGCAACATTAAATTACATAATTATTATGTTAAGGTGAATGATGACATTTGGTGAATGTTGACATTCACTGCTGTTTTTGGTGAATGTCAACATATTGTATAAATATTTAAAAATTACCAACAGTCACCGGTGAAAGTCAACATTCATAACGATTATCGGTGAGTGTTAACATTCACAATTGAGTTTTGGTGAATGTTGATATTCACAATATTGAGTTTTGATGCTTTTTAAAAATGTTTAGTTAAAAATTGGCAATGCTGGGTATTAATGAATTAAAAGTTAAAATTAAGTTAAAATGTTAAGTTAATGTTAATTAAGTTCATTAACTCATTACTTTTATTTCAAAATCTTTTAACTTAATGAGTTACTTTTTTTTAAGATTAATATGTTAATTTCAAGTGAATTTTATTCAAAAATAAATTTTCGTCCAAAGAATAATGCAAATTTTTTTATGAGGATTTTAGAAAAGTATGTTTTTCGATAGCTAGTTAATRCTTTGATGTATCATTTTAAATTTCCTGATGTTGACCGAGGGCGTATGGATCCACAGAACATATTGGCAGTTGTCRTAGCTGTCCATAATGAATTTTACACACTAGGCACAAAAGAGGGTGTAATAAAACAATTATACACCCGTAATCAATTTGCTGTATGTAAATAACAATTATTAACACCTGAAGAAGTTGCTACTGACCAATCCGTGTCCTCAAGGAAAGCTTCCACTTCGGTTCCTCAAACAGCCGACAGGGGTACTTGAGATGCAATTGTAAGGCAAAGTGAGTATCGAAGAAGTGTAGTTGTAGGTCCTCAGGAATGTTATGAATTCAAAATGTCATAGTAGTTTATCTTGTTGCAACAAATAATTTTTATAATATAATATAAAATAAAATAATTTATGTTTAATTATTAACCTTTTAACTAAAACTATTTTATCACTAGGTTTTTTTTACAAAATGTCAACATTCACCAAAAACAGATAGTGCATGTCAACATTCACCTGCAGTGAATGTCTACATCTAAGAAGAAATTGACATTCACTAGGAATTTCGGTGAATGTGACATTCACCAAATGTCGTCATTCACCTTAACGTATATATATAAATTTGTTATATATGCGTAGGTCTATAGGTCTGTTCTATAAGTGTAATGTATATAATACTAGATGAAATTTTATTTACATCATAAAATATGTTTAAACTGTTCTTATTGTTCTTGTATATGCTTGAATATGAAACTAGTCATAAATTATGGAGGTGTAGGTGTTTATAATATGAATTATTATTGTGCATACAAATTTACTATCCAACTGTAGGTACAGAAACCCTAGGAACTGTATTATAGGAGCAAGTAGAATATTTTCATCAAAGAATAAAACGCCCCTATAATTAAAACAATTAAATGTGCATATAAGTATACATAATAGTATCTTTGTCACTGAACATTGTGTACAAAAGTATACGAATACATGCGACTATGCGAGAAACACGATAGTGTTACATTATATTAAAATTTGTGATCCAATTAAATCAATTAAAGCCATTTATATAAATAAAATGATAATAATTGACTATTTTTAAACATTTTTAAGATAAATAATAAAAATTAAACATTTTATTGTAATATATTATAAATTATCAAATTATCTATATTACCTATATTTAATTGCAACTAATKTCCAATAAAAATATTTGGAAAAAATTTGAATACCTAACAAATTTCAACCATACTTTTTAGGCATGATTATAAATAATGTAAATAATATCCTAATAATGTGTAACAGTATATTGTATTAAAATATATATATATTATATCATGCATTACCTATACAATATAGGTAACAATTATAACTTATGATGTTTCCATCAACCAAAAATCTTCAAATATAAACTCATTATGCGTTCTCGCTCAATAGTTATTAGTGTTATTACTAATACTAATTATTATTATTACTAATAAAGTATCTGAAACTATAAACGTAAGTATATAAGGCTAAATATAACCCGACATCCACATGGACATGGAAACACGTAAACAATTTTGATGATTATTAAAGCTGGATACCTACCTAATTTAAATATAAAATGAGTAAAAACTTTAAAAAGTTTAAATAAATAACATAAAAAAAAGGAAAGTCGCCATGTTGTAGTTTCGAGTGCACCTCGTATATTAATAATTTAGAGCTGAGCTGATAGCACTTTTCCGAATATCCGATTTATATTACCGGTATACAACCGATAACCAGTATAATATTTCCAAGAACCGATACAAAATAACTTAGAAATCCGATATAATTTTCAAAAACTTATACCCGATATAATATAAACCGATGTAACATATTTTGTCATGTGATGTAGCATTTCAAAACTTATTAGATTTCCGCAGCAACAATAAATAATAATAATTAATAATTTGACATACTTATTCTTTTAATTAAATAAGTAGGCAAAAAATGTTTATCACAATAATATTATTGCAGTAACTGATTACAGTCTCAATTTCTATAATATTTTAAAATTAATTTAAAAATCTAGAAGTATTTTTTGTATTCAAAATATTATGATGAATTTTAAGCTATATTTTGAAGTTTTTATGAAATTTTGTTTATAAATGTTGATTTAAGCTTTTAACCATCAATAATCTTGTAAATGTAATACAAGATTTTGGTAATTAATAAATATTGAAAATAAATATTCAGTTTTTTCCTAGACATTCAATAGTGGGATAAATATTAAATTTGATAATTTGACAAAAAATTATTATAGTTATGTTGGCAAAGTGGCTTATAAAGCTTTTAAAAAAAAGTGGGCAAGTGGGTATCACTCTGCTGTATAGTAGAAATGGAGAGTAGGTCACTATTATGGATGTGTTAAATTTGAGTGCAGTGACAGCCGAGTGCCGACACTATACAGCCGAATTGTATATATTTTGTATACTGAAAACGATCCTGAACGGTGATGATTTGTCAGTCTAGGATATATTATATTAGTATATTACCAATGTTTAAATTATAATGTATTTTATAAGTACGCACACAAAATGTTTTCAATATTGACTGGAGTTTTTTTTTACAGTTATTTAAAGAAAAGTTGTATAGATCTTTGTGTTGGGTTTTTAATCTTAGGTATAAATTACAAAAAATTTATGAATTTTCAACTTCATAATTCCAGCCAAATTTTCGCGATTTTGACATATTTTTTTAAACAATTGAACTTAAAATGCTTATAAACACTGACTAACGAATTTTTATTTTTTTTTTTAATACGATAAGTCCAACTTATAAATTTATAATAAACCTTTTAAAGATTTTTGGATAACCAAATTTTTTTTATAGGTCTTTCAAAAAGAAACTTAGAAAAATGGAAAATTTCAACTGTTTATAAATAGCTTTAAAAAAGTTAAAATATTTTGTAAATCTAATCGTAAATATACAATAACCTTAATATAAACATTTTTTTTAAATATCAAGTTTTTACAATGATTCATTTTTGAGTTACAGCAAAATAATGCTATTATGCAATTTTCGATCATAATTAGTTTTTTTTTWAAATTAATATTGATAAAAATTTATTTACAAGGTAGAAAAACTTGAAAATTTAATACAAGGCTCCTAACATATTATTACAATGGCAGTTGAAAAATAAAATAAATTCATAGGTAGTCATAATTTTTTTTATAAGCATTCAAAGTATGAATTTTTACAAAATACGTAAATATCACAAAAATTCACAAATTTTAGTGCTAGAAATTCAGAAAAAAATGTATTTTTAAACCTAAGATTTGAAAATATAATACAAGATTCCTTACAAGCTTGTCAATCTTTATCACAAAAAAAAATGTCCATCAGAAATTTAAATTAAAGTTTTATGAGCGTTTGAAATTTAAATTTTTACAACATTGGAGTTTCACTAGATTTCTTATTTAGCGATTTTCTTATTTTGGTGTAACTCTAAAACAAATGACCGCAGATACTTGAAATTTTCACTGAATGTTTATACAGAAATTTGATTTTGACATTGATAAAATTTTCAAAATATTTTGATTTGTTTTGAGCCGTTTTTTGACATTGTAATTTTTCAACTTTTTTAGTTTTTTTTTCTATAAATATCGATAAAAATGTATTTGTTTGGTAAAAAAGCTTGAAAATTTAATAAAAGGCTCCTAACACATTGTTACAATAGCAGTTGAAAAATATTAAAAATACATATAGGCACGATTTTTTTTTTATAAGCATTTAAAGTTAAAATTTTGACTGAATAGTTAAAAAATGTTCAAATTATCTTAGATAGAAATTCATAAAAGTTTTTCTTTTTAAATCTAAGATTTGAAAATTTAATACAAGGCTCTTAACATAATTTTACAATAGCACTTGAAAAATAAAATAAATATATTGTTACAATTTTTTTTATAAGCATTCAAAGTTTGAATTTTGACAACATACGTAAAAATCACATAAATTCGCAAATGGAATCTCAAATTATTTTGTCATTAAACTAATTAAAACTATCGATTATAAAACAAGAGAAAAAATAGTAAAAGTAATGACTTCAAATTCTGTAAAAGTAAATTTTCAAACATGTTCATACTAGTATTTATTACTATTAAAGCACTGCTATACTAACATAGTAACATCAACATGTGTTAACTATACCTACGTCTCTGTTTCATGTGTAGGTACCTAATATGGCAACAGTACTATTTGCTTGCAATAATAAGTATACTTCCACAATTATGACTGGTGAAGTTTGGGGCTGCAAAGTTTAATAAGAGAGAATTTTTCTTGCACATAGCCAGATAATTATTTTAATATTTTCATTCTTTAATAAGCCATTAATACATGGAAATATAAATATATGCTAAAATATGATTGTCATAATAAAAATGAAAATTTTAATAAACTATCCCGTCAATGTATAACAAATGTTTTTTTTTTATGAAACGTACACAAATAAACATATTTAAATGTTTTTAATAAATGTAATTTAATTGAACCAGGACACCAGTCACCAGATAAGAGTAATCGTGAAAAGACGAAATATTTTTATCTTTATTTATTTATTTATTTATTAACTATTTTTTTTACGTATTGCCTATATGTCGGCAAACTTTAAACACAATGAAATAAAAAAGATATTGCTACACGTGACTTACTGACAAGAAAAACAAATGTTTGTGTCGTGGCCACTTAAAACAATATTACCCAGCAATCAGTATATTATTCGGTTCAACAATACTGATTATTTTTTACTTTGAATCATTAAAGTGTTATTTACAAATTTATACATATTTATTAAGATAGCATTATAATGACATAGGTGATAAGTAACAAGTAAGTATTAGTCTAATACAACTTACATAATCGCGTCCTTGGTGCGTACTGTTGTTTAATGAATCGCTTATCATTTTTACAAAACTTAAGTTATTTTCTATTCAATGAAAGAACGTGAATTGTGTAATCAAAATAAAAGTTTTTTCTCAACATACTGGCATATTATGAATATTAAAACCATCAAACATTGATCACGCACAGTTAAACTAAACTATAATATTATTTCCATAGCAACAACTACTTGCATCGTGAATTCGGGTGCGTTTATTGAAATATAATATATTATATAAATAATAGAGGTACCTACCTATTTGCTTTATAAATATTATTTTATTCATACGTTAAATATACATTTAACTAAACATTTTAAATATTTAAAAATATTTGTTGTACTATAAATTCTTGCTAAATTGGGATTAATTATTCGTTAATATACTATGATCTTTTAAATGATGAACCACTTTTTAACACAGCCCGTCAGCCTCCCACCTAATGAAAAATAATATTGTATTATACTCAGTATAAACCGGTTCAATTTCTACTGCAATAGCTATCAGTTTATCTCATACGATTTTCGTTTACTTAAATAATTGACATTTTGTAAACGTAATAGTCTTTATTAATTTAAAAAATGTACAGATATTAATTTATTAAATATAAAAACATAAAATATACTCATGATTTAACAAAAAATGTATTAAGTATTAATACTTACTTTTTACTAAATTTTCACTCAAGCTTTTTTTTTACGTAAATCAAATATTGATTACCAACTACAAACATAAATTTTCTTAATTAAACTCGAAAAATACGAAATTTGTGTAAATTGATATATTTATTATTATTTATCTATTCAGTTGACAAGACAGTATGACTGAACAGGCGGATGTTAAACTAAAAACTTACCATTGGACAAATCAGGTAAATAAATTAAGTAATTATCGACATAACGATAAATTAGGTATTAGTTGTTTATTTTTATTATTTTAATGTTTCATACTAATATAAAATATACAGCCGTTTTGTACAGTTATTTACCTACTTAATAGCAAAGGAAATAAATCGACAAAAGTATTTATACAATTATACCTATCTTAAGTTCTTATAATTTTTTCTAATGATTAATTGCATGCCAAATCATCCTACTTATAGATAATAATATTATTAATCTGTAGATATTGATTTAAATATTTTGTTATCAATGTAGATAACGATATACCTACATGTCCTACATAATAACTTTTTAATAGGTGTTCTTATTTTATATCCTTTCTTTATATATCTAATGATTTAAGGGGATTGTAAGYGGTGATTTTCTGTCTTTGTCTAACACACGTGGGACATACAATATGCCTGACAAAAATTAAGGTACTTCTAGTTGTTCGATTTAAAATTTGTAAAGATGTGTTAATTGGTATACAAGTTTACTTTGCATCGTTCGAAGCACTTTTTCGATTGTAGCAATATTTTGACAAGAATAAATATATTTTTAATTTTATAAATTTGTCAATTTTTTATTATTAAATATATTAAAAATATGCTTTGACCTATGCAAAGTAAACTTGTATACCAATTCAAAAAACTTTACATATTTTAAATCGAGCAACTAGAAGTAATTTAATTTTTATCAGGCGTATTGTATGTTCCACGTGTGTTAGACAAAGACAGAAAATCACCACTCTTCCAATCCCCTTAAGATTCGAAAAAATAACGTTAAAGAGGGACGCAAATTTGTCATGTTATAAGTTTGAATACGGAACAACACATGCGTATCTGAAGTACCCATCCATAAGAGTTAATAATGTTATTATTTGGATGCAATTTATTTTCGTCGATATAGCAACACAATTTGCGTTTATATACTGTTTTGTCTGTTTTATAGTAACTAAAATATATTGGAATTTTGAAATAGTTATTACTTTATTAGATATACAATTACATGTTATAATTTATAATTCATAATCGTGAGCCATGATTATCGAGCAGTATAATAATAAAAAAAACTGGCTTTTATTGAGGGGCCTCCGAGTTTTCTTAGGTGATCTAGCTCTTACGTTGGTCTTGGAAACATTCCAGGTGCCCGTACCAATGGACAATGGTTGTATAGATGATTTAAAAATAAAAATTATTAATCCACTAATTGTGAATAAAAAATAATAATCAATTTAAATCTAATCATCTATTTTTAAAAATTTTGAATTCATTAGTATTATCAGTCTAAGATCACTGAATTTAAAAACAGGGTACTACAGCAACTATAAAGTTTCTAATACCAAACAGTAAACGATGTTGGTACAATGGTATATGTTCATTGTTCATTAAAATAAAAACTATATTAAGAAAATATGAATTGTACGACTTAATTTAAAATTATTATATTTAAAATACCAAAAAAATGTAATTAATAATGTAAAGAAGTTTAAGACTAATGGCCGTTGTCGCCGATGTCATTTTGATCAATAAAAAAANAAAAAAAAAAAAAAAAAAAAAAAAAAAAAAAAACTATATTATTTATTTGACAGGTATATATTTCAGTATATACACTTATTTTGTGATTGTGAGTTGGGTGGTTACCTATATGTATACCTTATTTTTGCTCAAGATTAATAAGACTTCTATGTTTACAGACAATTTAAACATGTAAATTATACTCGATATGCATATGCACCACAACTGTATTGTTAATTTAGCATCAACTAGCGTGATATACACTTTTGTTATTAAACTAAAACTATAACTTTTATTTTAGGTTAGGGAGTTAAAATACTTGAAATATTGAATGTTCATAGGCACGTTTTTTTTTTTTTTTTTATAACCGTTTAAAGTTCAAATTTTGACAAAATGTAATTAATTGGAAATTTACAAATCCTTTAGTTGTTAGAAGTGTATAAAACGTTTAAATTGTATAGCTAAGGATTGAACATTTTTTAAAACAAGGTTTCATGTACCTACCTAAATACATAGTATTAATTCTGCTACAAAAAAAATCTAAAAACTTTTCAAAGACAGCTTTTTTGTAATTATTTTAAGTTCAAATTTGGATGAAATACATATTAAATAATCAAAATTAAAAATTTTAAATATAGTTGTAATTTAAAAATATTATTCGTGAGTACTTAAATTTCTAGAGTTAGAGTATACTTTATATTCTAATATTAATACTTTATAATAAATTGTATATACCTACAAGAATAACTGAGTGAGTTGGATTGTTGGGTACATATTGAATCTGATTTAAATAATTTGAAATTTATTTTATATATACTATAAAATATCTTAGACTGATAAACCGTCTCCACTCAGAATCGCTTTTCGTATACAATGATATTATATCATTGAATATTTAAATTTAATACCATTCATTACAGTAACCCACTTGTAACCTATTGAACAGCAGAATAACATCCGCTTACTTACCAACCTATGCATTTTTAAAAATTAATAGTAATTCTTTCCACTTAAATGTAAATAAGGTACATTCAACATATTTTTAAAAATATATTGTGTTATATAATGTAGTTAAAATATCTGTACAAATGTTCTTAATTGAAGTTGTATTTTTCGTTCATAGTATATGGAATATAGATGTATAACAAATTTCAATGTTATGGATAGATGTCCACTCCTATATAATTAACATTAAATTTTACTATACTATTTAGTACTTTATGAATTATATCAATTTTATATAAATCCTTGAAAATTCACAGTATAATAGACTTTGTCTATTGGTTTGAATATTTAATGTTATATTTTAACTTTTAAGTCATTATCATGATTTGTAATGAAATCATGATTACATTGTAATGATTCCAAAATAAATCGCTTGTAGCTGAAGGTGCAGTTAATTCCTACAGTTCTAAATATAGGTACTGAACAGTATTTTCATGGTCGATTTTGACGATATAAGTTTATTCTATATGTTATATTAGGTATTATATTATATTATATATATCTGTATATTATACATTATAATGTATGAGTAGTGAGTACTTACTGTAGAGCAATATAATATGTTGATTTTATTATTTATAATTATACGTAGGTAAAATATAAATTGGTATACATAATACAAGATTTTCAAATTATCACTTGAACGATTGATCAATCTAGATTTGTCTAACTTCAGTTTATAACAACTTCATATTCCCTGTTATAATATATTACCAACAACAATTTATAACCTGTATATAATACTTGATACAAACATTTAATAAAATCATACATGAATCAACTGACATAAGCTCACAGTAAAATTTCTGATTTATTTTACGTAAGTATGGTAATATGGTATATATAATTAACCAAGACCCACTAATATAACATTTATTTTCCCTCACCATTTTCAATTCCATTGAAAATCCACTTTGAAAATTTAAACTAATAAACTGATCCAGTTAACTCCTTTGAATACTTTGATATCGATTCATAGTCATAACCTCATAACATATAATATCCATTAGGTGATATGTCGCCGATGTCGGTGATGGTATGAATGTTACCTAATCTCATTGCACATGTAATATTGTGGTCTTAACTGATCATCATTATAGTAGTATGCTAAATAATGTAAATACTGTAGTATGTAGTATGTACTAGGTTTTAGCGTATTGGCCGTATTGCTTTTGCTTTTTAAATACCTATATAATTATATAATATTATATACTTATGTTGCAATGTATTTTATAGATCCAATCCTATGAGAAACTGGTTCGTGACGAAGAAAGTAAATTAAATGTGGACCAAGGTATAAAATTAGGATGGATCGAAGGTGTACTAAATCCATGTTTACTCAGTATATGGGGTGTTATGCTTTTTTTGCGGATGCCATGGATTGTAGGACAAGCTGGCATATTTGATTCAATTTTGATTATCTTCATATCACTTGTAATAATTATTATCACTGCCTTTTCACTGTCAGCCATCAGCACCAATGGACGAGTTAAAGGAGGTATTTACTATTTTTTAATATTGTATTATTAAACAAAGAGCTGCTCGAGCGCGTCACGTACCGAATTCACCGTAGGCGAATACACATACATCCTCATATGCATTCCATCGCACAATGATCAAAAAAACACTTATTCAATAGTTAGAAATTACTTTTAAATTCTGAGCAAAACCACAGAATAGACAGAATAGATGAAATCTATTCTGTGGCAGAACTATGAATGTATTGATTTTCCAATGGTGTGTTATTTGTCTAAAGAAATATTTGAGAAAAACTATTAATAGAGGTAACTATTTAAAATTACTTAGGTATATATAACTGCAGTTTATATACCAATCAATAAAAATTGATTATGATAATTATGATAATAAAAGTTGTGTAGTGTACTTATATATTGTTTACGCCTCTCCCTTTCCCACGCAAACATGTTTAGTGGGACTCATTGTCTTCTTGTAGATTAAATAAAATAATTTTACAAGCAAAAACAACGAAATTGAAAATTGTATGATAAAAGTTTTAAATTTCCACTAGTTGAAAATTTTAGCAGAAAACTTTCTTTAAGTTCAAAGAAGCATCCATATGGTCCGACGATCACCTGTTAAAAGCAACTGCAGTAAAGAAACTTCATTTAAGTTAAGTTTCAAAATGTAATCATTAGATTTGCAATGTTTTATAATTTAACTAATTTAAGACTATTGACTACATTGACTAGTATTTAAATGTAGCATAATTCATATCCCAAAATTCTCAAGTAATATGTGTTCGGAAATCTGAATGTTTATAGAAATGTTCATAATATCATATTAAATATTTGTAATTAAAAATATGTTGAGGGGAAGATATTTAAAATGCATTTTGCTAATAGTATCCCAAATCTATCTAAATTGCATTTAATTTACGTTTCTATAATAAATAATAATAGGCATATGAAATAAAAAATGTATTGAAAACTAACATATTATTATCCCTCAGGGGGTTTATATTTTATTATTTCCAGATCAATCGGGCCGGAATTTGGAGCATCTATTGGAATTCTTTTGGCATTAGCCAATACCATTTTAGTAGCATTAAACACAATCGGATTTTGTTTGTCATTAAAATCATTATTGAATACGTTTAACATACATGCAATGGATTCCAATTTTATATTTATACTTATAGGATTTATAGCGATACTTATTATGGGAGTATTGTGTGGTGTAGGTATGGATGATGAAGCTAAGGTTAGTAATGCTAATAATTTATAGTATTAGCTATAGATATATCTATATATATAACTATAGTTAAGTATTTGATATTATTATTAAAATTTACTTTTATATTTTTATTTTTATTATTTATTATTTTTCAAGATTCAAAATATATTGCTAATTTTTATTGTTGGTGCAATTTTCGATGTCTTAATCGGATCATTTATAGGACCAACTAATGATGATGCAATAGCTTCTGGCTTCACTGGATTTAGCAGTAAATTTATTTTTAACCATTGCAATTGATAAAAATATACAATATTTACTTATAAACATGAAAGTTATCATTTTTTAGTGAAGACATTTAAAGAAAATTGGTATTCAAATTATACGAACGATCAATCTTTTTTTACAATTTTTGCCGTTTTTTTTCCATCGGTTACGGGTATCCAAGCTGGAGCAAATATATCGGGAGATCTTAAGGTATCTATATTTAAAAATATCAAATATTATCTTTGGCAGTAATTATAAATATGGTGATTTTGTAGGATCCAAGTTCATCAATACCGAAGGGAACTCTGTTATCGATCCTCATTACCATTACTTCGTACGTAGTTTTAGTGATAGTGCCGGGGGCGGTTCAACTTAGAGAAGCAAGTGGCCATTCAAATGAAATACTAAATGAATTTTATTTAAATTGTTCATTTAGGAAATGTAATCAAGGATTATACCATAACGAAAATGTAAAAATATTTATATTTATTAAGATATAACTATATATAGGTATATTAATAATTAAGTTGTAACAAATAACGAAGAGGCTCTATAAATCATAATAATAATATGATAACGATTTAGTGTTCATATGAAAAATGAAATGTAACTATACTACTATAGTATATGCTAATATATGTATTATTATTGAATTCTAATATATTGTTACAGTTGATGCAGACAATATCTTTATGGCCGTATCTCATATACCTTGGATGTTTTGCAGCCACCCTAAGTACTGCATTGACTGCCTTAATTGCTGTTCCTAAAATATTACAAAGAATGGGTCAAGATGATATTTATCCATTCCTTAAATACTTATCAAAAGGTTATGGAAAATCTAATGAACCTTATCGAGCTCACATATTGGCTATTGTAATATCATCGATATTTCTTTTGATAGGTATTGAATATAATATTGTTGATTAATACTTAATATTATAGCTATAAGCTATGATAATAATTGTGTATTGGAAATCAAAACCGTATACTTTGTACATTTTTATTATAGCTGTATATGCCAACACAACTAAATAATCTTTACAAATACATTTTAAAACTACAATTTAAGCCTTTTGGATATACCTATTTGCTTATATATTATTTTACAGGTGAACTGAATGCGATCGCGTCATTCATCTCAACGATTTATCTGTGTGCTTACGCTTTGTTAAATTTGTGTACCTTTCATGTTGCACATTTTCAACCATTGGGTTGGAGACCATCATACAAGGTACCCATTTAAAAATACCATAATACCTTAGGTCATAAATCATTATACATTAATATTAGGTACTATACAAATAACATAATATTAATACAAATTAATTATGTTTTTAGTTTTATAACAAATGGTTAAGTCTTACTGGTGCTATTATTTGTTTTTTGGTGATGATATTTATTGACAAACAAATGTCAGTAATCGTTGCGTGTATTATATGGATTTTATATACAATTGCATCTGGAAAGAAAGACGGTATGGAATTAGTGATAAAATATTGAAATTAGTAATATTATAATATTAACTGGTAGTGCTTATGAATACTATGAATTGACTATTGACTTAGAACATACTTTTATAAATCATTATTTTATTGAAAATAAATAAAGATATAAATTGGGGATCCTCAAGGCAAATACAAMAAATTAAAACCGTTATAAAGAATGTGTACATGGCTGACACCATTCAACAGCATGTCAAAAACTATATACCAAATATTATGGTACTTTCTGGCGATCCTGAATCAAGAAAAGAATTGGTTTATTTTGCTCATATAATAACTAAAAATAATGGCTTACAAATGTGTATCAATATAATAAAGGTACGTGATTTGTTCCATTTTAGATTATTCTATAATTATAAAATCCAGATGAAACTTTTTAAACGAAGATTAAAACATTATCAGTAATTATTTAATATAAACAATAATAGGTACCTCTATATTGATTATTAATTTAATTATAATAATATATTTATATAAAAGTCTGGAAAATATATTAAAACTCTTTATTATTGAATTTTTTAGTATAGATACCAAAAATTAAAACTAATAAAGCATAGATATAATAATTTATTAGTTTATATTATTTGTCAATTTATTTGCTCGTTTAAAGAATAATAGTACATAAAAACATAATCTAATACATTATATTAGATAGATATACCATAATAGCTAGTAGTACAAAAATAATTAGGTAGATACTTACTACTGAATCATAGTAATGTTAGAAATCTGAAACAGAATTAACATTTTTTTTAAAGATTTATATTACCTATTAAATATTACTACATTTTAATAAAATCTTTTAAAATCTACAGATAAAAAAATTGTATAATTATGCATTCATATTTTAATATTTCATATATAATTGCTCAATAAAGTACTACTAAATATCTAGTAAAATTTAACATAGGTATTAGTAAGATAATTTATGGCCATTTTTAGTTTTAGTTTTCCGTATAGTGTAGTAATGTAAAAAATGATGTGCGTGCGTAATATATAAGTATTTATTTTTTCTTACGTAGGTATATAATTTACTAACTTCGTGTAGGTACATAATTATATATAAGGATTTAATTCTATCATTAATTAATTAATTCAACTGCAGACTTGACATATATTCGATGAATGAAGGAAGAAAAAATTATGTTTTATATTGATATACTTATAATTTAATATTAATTAAGAACACAATTAATATATTAGTAATATTTGAAAGAATACATTTATTATTAAAAGACACAGAATATTATACTGGATGCATATTACTTAGTTACGCACAAGGTATGACCACATATGTAGACATACGCAAGAGGAGTGATATTGCCGAAGGTTGGTTGTTGTCGTCCGAATCGATGGGACAGTTTAGATAAAGGCATAAATAATGTAAAATCACAGATGTTTATGTTGTAGTGTAAATATCTGTATAAAGTTTTCATGTTTTATTCATTATGATATATTATAATTTATATAATAATATCATGATAAATGATATAGAGTGTTTTATAAAGAACGCAGTTTTTTAAATCTTATAACTTATTTGTTATTGTTAGGAAGGTGGCATTATAACATGGTGAGTGTGTTACTATTAAACGTCGTACGTTTCAAAAAGATCATGAAACGATTACCGCATCAGCAATATTGATGCTGGTCAGTAAATTCAATGAGCCAGGACCAATTTCGAACATCAATATACTCTTAGACGCAAACGAGCCCAAAGTTCAATTTTTCGATGTTGCGCTGTTGTTAACGACTTTAGAGAAGGTCATTTGCACGATATTACATTTCACACTTAAACCTCAACTATTTACTAATAGTGAAACAATATGTATTATTAATAATCTATTTCTGATAAAATAAAATTGATTTTGTAGCAAAACCAAAAACTGCGTTCTTTATGAAACACCCTATATAATGATGATGAAGTTCTCGTTAACCAATAGTTATACGGTATGGTAATCATTACCATAATAAATTAAAATTTAATGAAAACCAACTAATTTTGCATATTATTTTATTATTTAAAATTTTAACAGATACATTATGTACTATATTTTTTTCAGGATCCTTTAATAAATAAACAAAAAAAAGAACTGCTGGAAAAAGGAGTGAATTGGTTACATCAAACTGGGATCAAATCTTTGTACAATGTTCTTGATAATATTGATTTGGATATTGGTGTTCATATAATAAATAGTTGTGGTCATGGTATTCTTACACCTAATATTATTCTAATAGGTTATAAACATGGCTGGTTTAACTGCACGGATGATGATATACAAACCTATTTAAATATATTAAAGTATTATGCTTTTGTATGTATTTTAAAATTATATATTTAAAAAAATTGTATTTTATTAAAAAGCTTATCAAATATGGATGGAATTGCGACTATAATAGTTCGGTTACCGATAAATGATACAATTATTGAAAGCAAAGATAGAAAATTGGCTAAAAGCACAGAAACGCAATTTTACGAAGATGAAAAAGTAAACAGTACATCATTAATAAATGAAGAAGAAAAATATATATCAAAGTAATATTTTCCATCGATTTTTTTTCATTTATTTATTTTGCATAGTATAAGAAAATCAAATTATTTTTAACTTAGGGAATTTGATTGTTCTGTAAAAATGCACGATACCCAATTTTCGTTTCTCACAAAACGTAATAATGGGACAGTGGATGTATGGTGGCTGTTTGACGACGGAGGTGTGTTTACATTAAATTAGTTAAATATGTGTGATTCCCATAAAATATTTATAATAAAACTGAATTTCACAGGTTTAGCATTGATTATCGCACACATATTTAAATCGTGCGATGTCTGGAAAAAATGCAATTTTCGAATATTTGGTGTGACTGATCAATTAATAAACGTAGACATGGAGAAAAACAAGTAATACTAAAAACAACAATAATTTTCACACGTTTTTTATTGATTAATTATTTTTTCATCAAAAATATAATATTTTAATGATAATTTTAAATAGAGAGTGATTCACAAAGCATACTTACCCCTTTATATTTTTAAATATCATATTATCAAATTCTTAATATTTTTTGTATTACCTCAGGATTTTCCGGCGGTGATACAAAATTTTGTTTTTGAATTAGAAAACTACCCTCCTTTACTGTAAATTATTCAGAGGATACTTTTTTTTAACATGTTGATGTTTCAATGCAAACATGCGAATGGGTATTTTTTGAGTTATTTAACTTTGTGTATTAAGGACTTAAGGATAATGGGTTTGGGATATATTGGGAGCTATTATGGGATATATTGACCAGTTTAGTACACAATTATTATATTTTATCCATCAACATTTATAATTTGTAAAAATGGTCCAAGTATAATAAACCCTAGATCCAAAATTACATATATATTATGTATCTTATATTTTTAAAAACTATTATCTTTAGTACCTATTAATATTTTAATAATTGTGAAATTATTCGTTTGAATTTAGATTTAGGTAGGTAGGTAGTTGATACATCAAAATATTATAAAACATTAAAACATAATAATTAATTGTAATGAAAGGGACGGGGGTTATCATTAGCAAAACAGAATTTTGTATCATCACAGAATACTCCTTCAGTAGGTATTACAAAAAAATCCAAACAATCAGAATTTGATTAGATTCATTGTCAAAGGAAAAATGGGAGTTAGCATGTTTAATGAACCATCCTGTATAATGATATATGTTGTATTATATAGAATTATAGAATACCATATAAAATGAGATAGGATAGCATAATACTGTACGCTTTAAATACAACACGAACATGTCAGGGGAATTCATAACTTTATAATTTCAAACTCCAATTTGCTGTGTCACAAAATAATTATTATTCGTGTCAGACTGATAATTAAGGAATGGAATAAATGTAATTTCCACCTTTTATCTATCAATAAATATAAAATAAAAATTATTTTCAGATTAAAACAATTACTAGCAATGTATCGAGTTCAATTTGATTTTGTAGACGTTGTATTAGCAAAAGCAACCAGCCTTAAAACCATGGCAAATTTCACCACTTTATGGAACCAACAATTTATCAATCAAGGTAAAAATAGAGTTTATTATTATTATTTTTTTATGTCTTATCAAACTTATTTATGAAATTATAAATATATTGCATCATGTATATTTTAATATTCTACTATACGATAGGTTACAAAATAAACATTTATCGATATAGCTAGTAGGCACTTACTAGAAGTCTACAAATATCCACAAAAGTTTCAAATCATCAAATATATTTTATCGCTTGAATAAATGTTCGAATATTAACTTGCTTGCCTATCATTATATTATTTTAATGAAAACATTATTAACTAATATTTGTGACTATTTTGGTAAATTTCCTTATTATCTACGTTTTTTTCGAAATATGTCCAATGAATGCTAACAAATTGGGCGATGAGAAGGCCCGGGAAGGGGAAGACGTACGTCTTTTTAGATAGATTAAATTTATTTTATGGATCATATTTTTGAATAATTTATCAGCTTGAATGCCTTTTTTATTTTTTTTGCAACTAGAGTTGGAAATAGTTACATTTTTTAAAAAATCTAGTGAACTGTAGTTGGTAGTTTATATGAATTGGTGCTAGTTTGATTTCGCGTCGCAAAATGTATTTAATTTACACACAAATGTACATTAATGTACAATAATGTATAATGTAAGTTCTCAATAATTTTCACTCCATATATTGGTACTTGGTAGAATATTAAATTGATTATGAAATTGATATATTCTTATAGTTTATATATTGTGTAGGTTATATAACTTATATTTATCTACAGCGATTACCGGCTAAACCGGCCTACAGGACCTGGTCTAATAAGTAGGTATTACCGTATCGATGACATAAGTGCTACGCTAGAAACATTTAGTATACATGCCCAATTTTTATTGTTTTTTTTTTTTTTTTTTGTTACCAAATCAAGATTAAATGAAAAATGAAAACAAACCACTAATATTTGCACAAAATATATTAAATTATTAATATTTGATTTAGAAAGTCAACCACAAGACGATGAAAAATATAACAAACAAACTGTGATTGATACCTTATATGTAAAAGATTTATTAGAAACGTATTCAATGCAATCTGATTTGATCATTATGTAAGTGAATACGTTTACATAGTTTATTAATTTAAAAGTATTAAATTAAAACAATTTTTGTAAAAATAAACGAAAAAAAATTTGTTTTGTATTAATTATAGATCATCTAAAACTACAGAGAAACTAGACCAAATACACATGTACTGGATGGAAGTGATAACCAGAGGATTACCACCTTGTATTTTAATTCAAGGAAACAAAATTAAAACCGTAACAGCTAGTGCTTAAATTTGAATAATTATGTATCATTATATATTTATTTTTTTAAGTATTAAAATGTGTTTAACATTACGGATATTATATTTCTCTTAATTATTGTCATAAGCTCAACATATTATAACACTATAATATATACTATCCCGTAGAATATGATATAGTGATAACAAATTGTACATCTAAATTATTTACTCGTTGTCATTTAATTTGCGACTATTCTCTGGACTTATTCAGTAAACTGAGTTTGACTGAGTACTATTCTACTTTAAAGTCTTCATGTTCATAAAAGTAAATCAAATGGTAAATGAGTGATGAATGATTCGTATGGGTACGTAGGTACGTTACATCACGTCGTACTTAGCAAATTATTTATAATATGAAATCTATATTAAAGTTATTATTACTATATCTAACAAAACTGCCTTGTAATTTCATCAAATCAATTAAAACAAAAAAAAAACCTCATTGGAATGTGTTGTATTATTTTATTATTTATGATGTTAATACTTCATACACTTTATCACTCAACCAATTACCAAAAGTCAATCAAATTCATAGTTTCCGTTAATCCACTCAACATCGCAAACTTTCCCTATTATAATATCATTGAATATTTAAGAAGAATTTAAATTAAGAGGACGTGATACCCGCATGACGTGTTGTCTCCGTCTTACAAGTGCATTATATAGTACATTTTACGTTCAGCAGAACACATGTAGCTCCATTTGCTTAAAAATAAGAATGAATTGAGCTCTTATAAAATTTAAAGGTATGATTGTTATCTAGACAACCTTATATGCTTTTTATTATGTTTAAATTTTAAAGGAAGTTATCAGTATTTTAAGATGCACAAAAAATTTACAATTTTAAAATACTAATAACTCGCTTTAAATTTAATATATAATAAAAAGCATATGAGGTGGTCTAGATAATAATCTTACCTTTAAATTTTATAAGAGGTCAGTTCACTCTAATTTTTAAACTAACGAAGCTACACTACGTGTTTTGCTGAGCGAAAAATGTACCATGTCACGCACTTGTAAGACGGAGACAACACATGCGGGTATCAAGTCCTCTTAAGATTTTTTCATCGTTTAATAGTTTAAAATAGTTTAAACAAAATAATAAAAATCAAAAATACCTCATGGCCATTATAATAGCGATACCTACTTTTTGGTGGACTTTTTTGTTGATAAGGTTAGGTTAGGCTACTATTAAATAATCTACAAAATTAGAATAACTTATCATTGTAACATGTATGGAAAATGCTAAACAAATATTTAGTGAACATTTCAGGAGTCGACGGGTATTTGTTTTAGAAATACAATACAATATCAAAAATTGATTAATGGGAATTTTTCAATTTAATTTAAAAATTATAAATTAAGTAAACTATAAGAAAAAACTTATTATGAGGAACTTTGCATTAAAAATTCAATATTTTTACTAAATTAAAAAGTTTTTATCGAGAGTAATAAAGTAATAAAGTTATAAAGCAAAATTGTTCTGTAATTAATCTTACAATTTTTTTTATGAAATACGGATACTTTACTTTTACTATTTTTAAAAGCAAAAATTGATTACAAATATGAAATAACGAGTGCTTGTATTAAAAACTAAAAAGTGAGTAAGTGGATGTTTCTTTCTTATACAGCATGTTACAAGCAGATTACTGTAATAGATTATTGTAATAGATGTACCTATTAAATTTGAGTTTTGTTGGTATTATATCATTGTCTATAAAAATACGAATTTGAACGGAGACAGTTTGTCAATTTATAGACTAGTATATTTTAACTGAATATAATTTGTGAATTTTCAATTTAATTTTAAATTCCAAATGTCTAACATAACTTGAAGTCTTGAAAAGAACTTAAATATTTTGAAAATATTATCAAATATAGAAATTGATAAAATAAACATATGGTATATATTTCAAATTTCTAGAATTATTCGTTTTTGAATAACAACACAATAAGAATATCGGTAAAGTGAAATTGAGTGAATAGCCAATTCTATACACATTTTAAATTTAAACGTTCATCAAAATTTAATTTGACTTTTTGGTGGACATTTTTTATTTGATAAAGGTAAACAAACTTATGAAGAATCTTTAATTGAATTTTCAATCTTAGATTAAAAATATTAATTTTCATGAATTTATAACTCTAACTCTAACTAAATAACCTAAACATTTTTGTGATTTTTACGTATTTTTGCCAAAATTCGTACTTTAAGTGCCTATATAAAAAAAAAAATTGTGATTGTATTTATAATATTTTTCAACTACCATTGTAACAGTATATTAGGAGCCTTTTATTAAATTCTAAAGTTGTTTTAACCAACGAATAAAATTTTATTGACATTTAAAAAAAGCTGAAAAAACTGAAGATTGAAAACATCTATAAATAACTCAAAATAATTTGAAATATTTTAAACATTTTATCAAGTAAAGAAAATGCCAATATAAACATTCAGTAAAAGTTGCATGTGTCTACAATAATTTGTTTTAGAGTTACACCAACATCTAAAATCGATTTTATATGTCAGTTTACTCAATTTTACCTATTTAAAAAAATTTTGTGCACAGTATGCGTACAGGGAACAGTCATTGTTTTGGGTTCCGTGATTATTTTTGATTTTTTGCTAACCTAATACTTGTTTGTTAATCTAATAAATTATTTCTCACTTTAATCAACAGTATAATATGAATTATTKATTATTAGCTCATCGTTCATTGCTTTGTAGTGGATAACAACATTATTTTTCGAATTTCTCTTCAGTTTTTAAATTTTATTTTCACTGTGATCAAACTCTGACTTTCATAAATGTGTAATACTTATATTATATTTTAAAGTACTTAAAACATTGACATTTGCAGTAACTAGGTATAGTGTTAATTAACATGGAAAATGCATATAAATAAAAAATTAAACCAAGCCTATACACGATTGAAAATCTTATACCCCCTAATAAATTACAGCTCAACACTTTAAATCAAATGCTCTCTCCTAATATACACATCAATAATAAGACCACTAATTACATATGCATGCCCAATATGGGCAGCCGCATCCCAAACAAAAATTAAAAAATTACAAACGATTCAAAATAAATTTCTCAGAATAGCTCTTAAAGCCCCATGGTTCATGCGAAAAACACAACTCCATAATGACACTGGTATACCTTACATAAACACATGGATAATTGAACAATTTAAAAAATTTCACACGAAACTAAAAACAATAGAAGGCGCCCTTCACTTCAAAATTGGGAAAATAACTAAAAACCGCAGACTAAAGCCACGGCTACCTCAAGACATCTTGCTACCTCCAGAATCATCCTCATCATCTTCATCATCGGTATCATCAGATCAATGACCTAACTAAACAACTCAAATTTAAATTCATTTTACTAAAAAATAAAATAATGTACAAATTGTATTACTCTATATATGAAATGTATAAATAGTATAAATGTTTATAAAAAAAAAAATTGTAAAAACAAACATTTTGTTGAAACAATTATAATTAATAAATGAAAAAAAAAAGGTATAGTGTTGTTTGAATAATATTTTCTTTTTGCACATCATTCATTTATTAGTATGTTGTTTATTACCTACATTTGTTATAGGTATACCTATATTATTATTATGATACCTATTGTTAAAATATTAAATTCATGCTTACAATTAAAAACATTAAAATAAAAACAATTAACTTTTTTATCATAAGTACAACAATTACACGTTTTATGGCCAGTTCGTTTTGTTCATAGTTTTAATTATGATAGCCTCTAGAGACATGTACCTATATATCTAATCAAATATTCCAATGTTATTATCAAATGTGTAAATCTCGTGAAMTTTTATGGTATAATATTATTATTCCCAATGTTATTGTACAAGAAATTTAATTAATTAAAATAATGACTCAATTACTATACACTATATAAAACTCCACTTTTTGATGTAGCAGTTGTAATGTTGAAAGCTTGAAAACATGTCAGAACACGATGAAATTAAAAACAAAAGCCGTCCTTGGATTGACCAGGTAGATACTTGTATTACAAAACAAACTCTATAATATTTTTAATTTCATTGATTTTTATAGCTGTGCACTAGAAATTAAATTTTTCATAAGTGGTAGGTACTATAAATATTCCACCATTTTTATTTAAACTTAATATTATTAAATGTTTAAAAACTGACTAGGTACTATAAAAATCACGTATTTCATATATGTGAATATCTTACAAAACTTTTTCTTCAAAATATAGAAAATAAATTCACCACGAAAAATGTAAAAATCGTATCAATTTATTTTTAAGTTCTACTTATTTATATTTTATACAAATCAAAATGTAGATTTACCGCTGAATGGTTTATTTCATCATGTTTTTCACGATTATTGCACCTTAGGGCACAGATTTAAAATGAGAATAATAATATTTTTATAAAATCACTGTACCTATTATATTATTATATTTTTTTAATTTTACAATAATATGACTTTTTATATTCAAAGATTCAATCTTATAATGACTTATATCGTGAGGAAGAAAACAAAATAGAATTGAGCCCAGGAATAAAACTAGGATGGGTCAAAGGCGTGTTGATCCCATGTCTACTCAGTATCTGGGGCGTAATGTTATTCTTGCGGATGCCATGGATTTTAGCACAAGCTGGAATATTTCATTCAATCATAATTATTTTTATTTCCCTGCTTATTATTCTAATAACAACTTTTTCACTGTCTGCGATCAGTACAAATGGAAAAGTAAAAGGAGGTATTATTTTATTTAATAATAATTAATATTAATATTATGATTGAATATAATTTTAGTCCTGTATTTTATATGACTGTGTTAAACATTCTTAATGAAGATTAAGATAGGGTAAACCCACGGGAATTCGTCACTGGCAGTTTTGAAAATGACTAATCGGGTATCATATGATGAATTAAATACAAATTTTGAATCATATAGAGTTGGTATTTCTAACGAGCAACGAAATGCACGGGGAGCAGCTAGTATATTATACAAATATACAACTAGATTTATTAAAAAAAAAAATCATAATCATAATTGATTAGTTTTAATGTATTGTATATTTGTATTTACAATTAAATATATTTTCTATATTTCATCACTATACTAGACAGTTATGACAGACATGATAAGTTTGAAGTTATTTTTGTTAACAATTTCTATATTAACTATAGTCCTGTTCATTTTCATATAATTTATCTGTTTAAGTTGCTTAATTAATTGTATTTTTCATGTAATTTTTGATAACTTTAACGATATTTTTTTTAAATATAATAAGTTGTTAAATTCTAATTTATTTGTAATGTACATACTACAAACATTTTATGAAACATTACAATAAATATTTTTGTAAATATAACTTATTACTTAAGTAATGGTGACTTGTTAGCAGTGATGTATCAAAGCTAAATTTATCTAGACAAAAACTGTATATCTTTATCTTATCTAGATAAAAATAAAATTGACATCTAAATTTCATTTAGATAAAATGTATAGCCATCTAAATAAATTATCTATATAATTCACAAATTCCGTAACTAAAAAGTAATAACTATTCTACAATATTATCATATTCATTATAAAATAAATAACTAAATAAAAAATTTCATTTGTATTACTTGCAACATTTGATTCTAAAATCATTTTACACAGCATTTATTATTAATTATGATTAATGACGATGTATTATGTATATATGTTTGAGGGTGGGATTGTGGGAATTATTTATAATTCTTTAATATGGCCCATATGAGTCTCACGTCGTATTATATACGAACGCCAATTGAGCCTAAGTTATTTATCGCAACAGCAGTTGCACGGTAGATAGTTTATAAATACTAAAATACAGAAATAATTGTCGATGATAAAATAGCAATATTATAAAATCTAAGTCACAGCTCACAAGATACTTTTATCTTTAACTTGCTTGGAATATTGTAATAAAAATACAAAGTTATTTTAATTTTCAGTTGTTATAATAAATTTGAATATTGAGGTAATGTCTTATATAGTTATAGGCATCTTGATAAAAGTGATCTCCTTTCTGTTTTTAATAAAAATATAGTTTCTAGTTTAAAATTTTATAAATTATGAATTAATTATTATTTTGTTCATATGTAGGGGGTCTTTATTTCATTATTTCCCGTTCGATTGGTCCAGAATTTGGAGCGTCAATTGGTATTTTATTAGCATTAGCAAACACTATTTCTGCGGCTATGAATGCAATTGGATTTTGTGTATCTTTAAGATCATTGTTACAATCAAGACATATATCTATAATAGATTCAAATGTTAGATTCAAAGCATTAGGAGTAGTATCTATAATAATTATGAGTATACTTTGTTGTATCGGCATGGATAGAGAAGCTGAAGTCTGTATGAAATAATTCATAAATTATTGAAATATTTATAGTTCTTTAACTTTTTTCAGGTACAAAATGCTCTTCTTATTGCGATAATTATTGGTATTTTTAATGTCATTATTGGCTCATATAATGGCCCAAAAAGTACCTTAGCTAAGGCATCAGGCTTCACTGGATTCGACAGTAATATTTTTTATTGCTATTTAATAATTATTATTCGTAGGTAATATGAGTTAACATTACATTATTCCAGTGAAAACGTTTAAAGAAAACTGGTATTCAGACTATAGGGTTGATAATAACGTTCAGCAATCTTTTTTTTCAATTTTCGCTGTGTTTTTTCCATCTGTAACTGGTATACAAGCTGGAGCAAATATATCGGGAGATCTTAAAGTACACACAAAAATAAATAATAATTTTATAAGAGATCATAAACTCGAAATATTTTTAGGATCCTAGTGATTCAATACCAAAAGGAACATTATTATCAATTATCATCAGTATAATTTCGTATATTGTATTGATAGTAGTTCCTGGATCAGTTCAATTGAGAGAAGCTAGTGGCAACGAGAACGAATTTCAAGATGGATACTTTTCGAATTGTTCGTTTAGAAATTGCACAAAGGGATTGTATAAAGACATAAATGTTAATTTATTATAAATATAATTAATATTCATATCTGTTATACATGTAAATCAACATTTGTTTTTCAATGTTTTTAGGTATATCAGTCGATTTCATTATGGCCGATTACTATTTATTTCGGATGTTTTGGAGCTACTATTAGTACTGCTTTAACAGCATTAATATCCGTTCCAAAGCTGTTACAGCGAATGGGACAAGATGATGTTTATCCGCTTCTTAAATATTTAGCAAAAGGCTATGGGAAAAGTAACGAACCCTATCGTGCACATATATTTGCCATGATTGTGTCATCAATAATAGTTATTATCGGTATTAAATCATAATTTGCATATTATATAGATTATTAAATTGTTTTTAAGAACATTTTTAACTTTTAGTCATCATTGATGATTATTGATTAAATTTCAAGAGAAACTTGATTTTTTTAAATTTGAAAATATTCAACATTTTTATTAAAGAATATTATTATAGTTTTAATGAATAACAAGTAATAAATAGTGTTACTAATAACTAATTATTAAATAAAATATTTAGAAATAATTTATCTTTTTATTTTCTTATACCAATATATGAATAGGATTTAATGATTTAAAACCACAAAACATCACAATCTTGTTCCAAGGTTCTTCCTTGACTACATGTGGAATATATACCTCTGTGACTCTATTAATATTAAATATTATAATATCTAAGTATTATTTAATTAGAAGTATGTACCCAGCTAATAATTATTATACGAGTATAGTAATTATTAAAGTTAATTAATTAACTAATTATAATTAGTTAATTAATTAACTTTAATAATTACTATACTCGTATAATAATTAACAGCTGGGTACATACTTTTGATTAAATAGTGTGCATATATATTACACAATATAATATGTGGCAATAACAGTACCTATTCCAATTAAAATCATTGCCAAACCTTTATATTAAGTACAATAAAATATTTTAAACCTTAAAATGTATGTTATATATATTTCAGCTTCATTAAATTAATACTTGATTTTTGAAAAACAATTTTTTAGTATGGGTTTCGAATTTTATCTTATTATAATATTATACAAGCTTTAATATAGTTTAAACTTTATTATTATTTTATACTATAGTTATATTTAATAGGTTATATAGGTAGTATTCAAAAAGCTATTAAGTTCAAATATTAAAATTTTTCCGAAATGTTTAACTTATTTTCATCGACATTTATATTATAAAAAGTAGTATCATAATATCATTGTCTAGATAAGAAGACAACATGTACCTAATTGTTTATTATTTTTTTCACAGTCATCTAAAATTATATAACATGTATTTTTCAGGTGAATTAAATGATATTGCCTCAGTGATCTCAACTATTTATTTATCTGCCTATGCATTGTTAAATTTGTGCACATTTCATGTCGAATATTTTAAGCCTTTGGGTTGGAGGCCTACATACAAGGTACCTACTTATCAGTAAATAATATGTACACACATATATTCATATATATTTGTTTTATATGGTTTCCACAAGAAGTTATTCTCTAGGTTCACGATTACAAATTAAAATTGTATAGAATAAACAAGATAGAAAGATAAATTACTGACAATAGTATGCATAATATGGTTTTTATTGACTATGGGATTATTTAAGTATTAAATACAGCGGTGTCTGATGTGATTAGTTTAAGAAGTGAAAGATCAAATATGTTTTTCGAAAACCTATGAATTTCTAGGCCACTTTGTAAGGTGAAGCATTAAAAGTGCGAAACGCGGACACTTTGTATGGTCGGGTCGGGTAAAAAAGTACATTGCAGAACGTGGACGCTTTATACTATATATACAAGAAGATATAGTATATAATATTATAAATATTGTTAAATTAAAAATAAAAAGTAAATGGTAATAAAATATTTTATATTAATAATAATCAAAATAATCAAAATAATCATACGATCAATAATATAATTATAAATCTTAATATTGTATTAGATTATTAAAAGCTATGTTTTAAAATAATACTTACTACTTATATTTACAATATATACCTTATGTATATAATAGTAGAAATTTTCCACGTTATACATCTTAAACAATAATCCGTACAAAGTGCCCGTTTACCTATAATGATTATTCAATGCTCGGATTTTTAAGAAAACTATTAGGCCTGAAATTTGAAGTAATAGAAAAGTTAATTTAGAAAAGAGTATTGAGAATATTGAGAATATTGAAAATATAAACTGCCTACGTATAATTTGTATAACAATATAACATACATTAATTATGTTTTTAGTTTTATAACAAATGGTTAAGTCTTGCTGTAGCTATAATCTGCATTTCAGTAATGATATTTATTGATTCACAAATGTCATTAATTATTGGAAGTGCTATATGTGTTTTGTACATACTTGCTGGTAGAAAAAAAGAAGGTTGGTTAAGTTGTTTATGATATAATGAACTTCACTAATTAGTTGATCGATATATTTTCTATTAATTATAATTATATTAAAATCAAGTTTTAAATTGGGGATCTTCTATGCAAACACAACAAATAAAAACAGTTATAAAAAACGTGTACAAGGCCGATACAATTCAATACCATATCAAAAACTATTTACCTAATTTAATTGTGTTTTCTGGAAACCCTGAGTCAAGAAAAAAATTAGTTTCTTTAGCCCATTTGATTACGAAGAACAATGGTGTACAGATGTGTGTCAATATTGAAAAGGTTAGATACCTATATCTAAAAATGATAAAATGTGTAACATATTAAAATTATGAATACGCATTTTTTTTTTAAAGATATCGATTACGCCGAGGCAAAAGCAAATATGTCTTGACAAAGGAATTCAGTGGTTAAGAAAGTCTGGAATCAAATCCTTATATGTTATCATTGATAACATAGAATTGGATTTAGCAACATACTTGATATATAGTTGTGGGCATGGACAATTGAGACCAAATATAGTAATGGTTGGATACAAGTCAGATTGGTTAAATTGTCCGTATCAAGACCTTCAAACTTATTTAAATATTTTCAAGTATGAAAATTCAAGTATAAATTTAAAATAGTTTACATTCAAATAACTTATAAGTCATATTCACTTATTAGTGTGGCAAATATGAATAACATGTCAACAATCATGGTTCGTGTGCCATCAACCGAGATTCATGATGATCAGAATTTATTAATTCAAGATTTTAAGCACTTAAACAAAAATGAAGAAGTTCCGTGCAAAACGCAATTGGATAAAAATATGAGAAATCAACAAAAGTATAAATAACTAATACTATTGTTTTTTTTTTTTTTTTAATTGAGTTAGTTTTTTAGATTTTGAGTTTTTTAACATAAGTGTACGTAAACCACCTTAAATCCCCGTTATTTCCTTCTGACTGCCCACATTTTAGTTACCAGTATACGTATACTTATGATTATGATCACGAATATTGATACTATAAAGTATTAGGTATTTATATTATACTCTCCGTAGTTACTGTGTATAAATTGTATATAATTATATTAATCTATTGCATTTATAAAGATACATTTAGAAACTAGTAATTTAACACACCCGTTGAGTGATCTTTCCTAATTATAACATAATAATATAACGTGTAATAACCTGGTATATCAGTCCTATCAGTTTATATAACCATTCATTTCATACACTATCGTGCAGCTTATACCAATGTCAATATTTATTGATTATTAAAGCTGATAATTTTAAAAATAAATATTTTAAATTATTTGAGCCAACGATAAAAATTGTTATTTTTATAAAACTGAGTAGTAAATAAATAAAATTTAGGCACAATTTTGTTTTTGAAGAGAATTTAATAAAAATATATTCCTTGATGCAATATTTTTAAAAATGCCAAAATATGAGTATCCACTTAAAAGATTTTTTTAAATTTCCTATAAATTAAAAATAAAATTATTTGTTTTAATTATTTTAAATGTTAATACATAATAACTAATAAGGTGTATAATTAATTAGACATATATTTTTTATATTTCATGGAATTATAGTTTGTTATAAATAATATGTTTTAAATTCGAGAATTGTATAGGATCACACAGTGGTGACTGGTCGGTTTTCCAAATTGATTTATAATAGAGTAATCAAAATATAATATAGAAAAATAATTGCAGGGTCAATGATTGCTTTGTTGTTAATATGAAGAACAAAGAATTTTCATTCGAGAAGAAGAAACGAAATCATGGAACTGTCGATGTGTGGTGGTTATACAACGATGGAGGTTGGTAAATTAAATAAGTACTCTTCTTCTAAAGTAATTAGTAAATTATTTCAAATATCCATACAACTTGTTGGAAACAATAAAAATGTTTTTAAATTATATTTAGGTCTATCGTTAATCATTGCATTTATATTAAAGCATAGTACTGCGTGGAAAAATTGTAAATTTCGAATTTTCGGAGTAACAAATAAAGTTGAATGTTTGCCTGAAGAAAAAAACAAGTAAATATAGTTTTATGGAAAATCTATTAATTAATTAAAAATATCGAATTAGTAAGGATAATTAGTAATTTATAAGGGTGTATAATGTTTATTGTTTAATATAATATATTAAACAATAAACATTATATTATGTTGTGCTTACTCCAGTTTCAATAATGAAATTTGTTTTATATTAATAAGTACGTTTTTTTTTTAAACAATATTTTATGTATAATGATATATGTTGGATCGTTGCATTAATATAAATGCAGCAATTAAATGTTAATCAATATAACTACAGTATATAGGTATGAATGATTATGACGTGTTTATTGTTGAAACAACATACGTAAACTAAATGTCGTGGGAGACACATACGTCGCGTATGGTAGGACAATCCCCCACCATATATATATATAAACAATAAACATTATTTAATACGTAACAATATATAATATGTAAATTTAATATTTAAAAAAAATGTGTCAGTAACGTGCGCAGAGGAAATGGTTAAGTGATCAAAACTCACCCCCTCCCCCAAAAATATTTTCCTTCATGGTAATTGTCCATTTTCTCTATATAATAGTATCAATATTAATAGAAAATTAATGTAAGCACTATTTTCTCAGAAGGTTAGTTGAATATAAAGCTAAATGTATATATAAATATATATATATTATATGTACATAAATCCATTTTTTCAGATTAAAACAATTGTTATCACTGTATCGAATTAATTTCGATTACTTGGATATCATTTTATCAAGCACCGCTGGTCCTACAACAATGATATATTTCAGTTCTTTATTGAAACGTGCAACTTCCAAAGGTAACTTAAAACTAATTGTTATGCGTTAATTATCTATATGTAATATACCTAAATAACCTAAAAGAACTCTTTATCCTGTGATCAGTGTATTTAAAAAATACGGGGAAAAATGTTATACGTTGTATGCATTTTAGCTAGTAAATCTTTATTATTTTTCATACTGGCGATGTATTTGATTAAATAATCAACAATCTGAAAAGCAAAAATTATTTTTTATATTTACTCAACATATTATTATTTTCCAGAAAATCAATTTGAAGATTTCAATTTACAAAAAGAGTATATTGCTGAAACGTTGTTTTTAAGAGATTTAATTGAATTACATTCATTTAACTCTGATCTTATCATCTTGTAAGTGTTAATGTGTTATATTTAAGTTAATTTTTATATGAAAGACTGATTTAAAAAAAATTTCAGAACGACTCCAAAAAATAACGAAGAAATCAATCTACTATTCATGTGTTGGATAGAAACGATTTCTAGAGGATTACCACCGTGTATTATAATCAATGGGAGTACTCAGTCAGTTCTTGCCGTCAATGCTTAAGACATAAATATATTTAATATCCAAACATTAAACATTGTATATTTTATTATGTGTACAATCATGGACACTTGAATTTTCTTTTAGATTAATGTATAGGTTGATATTAGGCAGTTAATATTTTTTTTTTTTTTTACTTTTACACTACTGGATTATATATTTTAAAATAAAAATTAGTGTTAATTAAAACGTAATACCATACGTACAAACATACAAAAATGAGCATAAATATACTTGTATAACAACCTTATTACCTGTACTATATATGGTAACCTATTGATAAAATCAAAGCTTACATAATATTATATTTCTAATACCTCATTATTTTGTTGTATGTTTGATAATACTTGATAGAACTTTGATTTTTTAGAGATCTCAAGCTATTCAAATGTGCCTATAAGGCTTTAAATAGGTTTTTTCTTAAGTCTTGTCTTATTAATTCATTTATTGCTTAGATTAGATAAATTTTAATTTATAAAATTTAATATAATTCTTGTCTTCTCGTTTTATAAAAATATAAACCAATATCAATGGTTCTGGTGTTTAAATTATTAATAATGTTAATAAGTATTCGGAGTTCTCGTTCGTAGAAATACATTTCAACAGTTTGATTATACACTATGTTGGCAAACCATTCGTGCACGAAGATCCTAGTGCTTTAGTGACTTCACTATCCTTTAATGATGATGGTGTTTAAGAGTTTTGTTTGTCAGCAGCTATGTTGTAGAATTTTTAGATGCCTTATTACTACTGTAAATTTAGGCTTTTATGAAACACTTCTATGGTTAATATTAGCATTCTTAAGCCTCTAATGTAAACGATATCTTTCGATTTAGAATGGAATTGGTTCCTGTTCTGTATCGTGACGTTCTATATAATTGACACATATTTTTTCAAATCTTCTAATGTATAGTAATTGCTACGGAAAACGTATAATTATTAAATGTCACATTTAATACGAAATAATTTACCATATTTGTCAGATTTGTGTAAAACATTTAAATTTAGTTACTAATAAGTTATTAGTTAATAATATATACTTATATATACAAGGTGTATCACGAAGTTCTGACATATGGTCCATATGCATGGTCCTATGATACGCCCTGTATGTATAGAAATGTAGTTATACCTACACGTTTATTACGATTAGTCTCCTGTAAACCAAATTATTTATTTACATCTTCATATTTAAAATATGTGATGAAATCAGATTCAATAGCCAATGATTTGAGCCTATCATCCAAGTACAATTTTGTTCTCTTTGGTGTACTAAAGGATTGTTCTGCAGAGCAATTTGACACTGTACAACATAAAAACATACGTAATCCTAACTCAATAAACGGATACAAGCTAAAGATATCGGTAATCGGAAAAAAAATCCCCAAAGCTATATTCCTAACTGTTGTATACATCTGTCTAAAATAATAATTAAGAATACTAAAAAAATTTAAAATTTGAATGATGTTACTATTACAATATTATCTTGATCACACAGTTAGATTACGCAAAAAATAAAAATAATTATGATAATAATGAACAATATTACAAATATAAAATATCATATTGCGCATAAAATAGCTGGACACTTAAACGAACTATATTTTAAACAACTCCATCTAATAAAAAATTTACAATCTTGTTGACGTACGTAAGTAAAATCTTTAAAACAAACTTTGTCATTTCCTTGAGTGAATTTAATTATTTCCATAATTAAACAGTCACAGAAATATAAAATTACTTAGAGATAAGGTAGGTAGGTACTCTATACTGCACTATATAATACAGGAACTTGAGAAGTATACTAACCGTCTAAGGTTTATCCGTAATAATTTATCGTTATCAATATAGGTGGCTCGAGGAAGGGTAATATAAATAGACCACCAATAACATTTTTCTAGGCTTAAGAAATTTCGTTCCGATCATTTATCATTTTATTATTTGTCAATCGTATTATTTTATTTATTTCGATACGTGGATAACGTCTTTATCTGTCGATAATGCGATTAGCAGCTATTATAAAGGTTCAGGACTCAAACTAATTGGTCAATCGGCATTACATCGAAATTGCGTTTATTGAGAGGACGTTACACCGATATTTTCTGTCTCCGTTTAAGATGTAAAATAGTAAATTTATATATAAGTCAAATTTTCAAACTCTACAAAGCAAACTTTGGGGATTTTTTTCCGATGGTTTTTTTTCCGGAGATTTTTAAATATTTTATTTAAATCTAAAACAATTATCGGCAAATTATTCTCTTGTAACTTAGATAAATGACCACGAAATTGTATATAATCATTAGAGATATATTTGAATATTTCATTAGAGTGATTATATAACATAGATATATTTAATCACTTTGCTATGATATTATAGACCCATAAAGGCATAGACATATAAAATATAATTTTATTATTTATACGTCTTTATATTAACCACGATGTAGATATGTCATAGTGACCATGATTGTTATTAAGCTATATTAATACTTATCAGCTATTACTATTATTACTAATATAATTTCTCAATAAATCCAATAAAATAAAAATAATTATTTTATTTTATGATAACTTCACTTTGAAGACAATTTAATCTTGACGGCGCCACTTTAAGGGACTCAGAATTTGGCGTAATTTCCCCCTGTCACTCCTCCCCTAAATACGTCACTGTCTGAGGTATTATTAAGTGCAGTTGTTCGTGGTTATATTACTATTTATGATGTGCAAATATATTATATTAATATGATTTCTTACCTGTTTAGCGTTGGTTTGTTTTCTCGTATAAGACACGCCATTATGTAGGTCAGGTGGTGTCAAACCTTTTTTGGATCTAGTGTCAAATTTTTGCAATAAAGGTTTAACAATTTTTCACGTGCCCAAAGTTTGTAAATAATAAATAGAACATAATGAAATATTTATAATAATATAATATAGTAACATAATCAATTTGTTTTTTAAAAAAATGTTTATATTTTAATTTTTTACCAGCATAATTTTAAGAATAGTATAATTATTTGTCTCAATTTTATTTTTTCGCGTGTCGTTGAAATTTTACAAACGCGCCAATTTTGGCAAACGTGCCGTGGGTTCGCCACCCCTGATGTAGGGTCACTACAACCTTTTTTTAAACAATATATATATATAACTAATAATGTATACATATAAACTGAAACTTCAAATATAAAATAGACAAAATAAATTAATAGATAAATAATTTAAAGTCAGTAGTGATACCTAACTGATTGTCGTTTCTTTGACTTTTATGGTTTCAGCCCAAAAGTCTAACTACGTTTTTGGCGTTGTCATTTGCATTTATAATAACATCCTGTGTGCAGAAATAAGGACAAACTGGGCATTGCGTAACTTGTTTCATTGCACCTATAGAAGTTGTAGATGTTTCTTCAAGTAGTTCCCATTTCTTCATCTTATCCTTAATGCATGCATAGAACTCCTGTTCTCGTTCGAAGTATTGTTCTCCAAATTGGCTATTCTAATTGATTACCTGATGATAACGCTTCGACGAAAACCCATTTTTTATCTCTAATTTGGATTGTCTATTACATAACTCTTTCCTAGTTAGATAAATTACATACATTTTTTGTCAAGAGATTCTTTAGAAAGAAAGAACTATCAATTTTTTGTAAAAAATTTTTAATACTTGTAAAATTTAGTTGAAAATTATTGTTTTTGTAATTATTAAACTTAATTGAAAATGTTTTAAGATAACTATCTTTGTTTTGCGAATTAATTTAATTGAAATGTCTAATGCCTTAGATATTGAAGATAATTAAGATAGTATAGAGAATCAATTATTTTAAATACATATTTTTTCSTGATTTAAATTATCAGAATTACATTAAAGTCGAAATTAGTGATTTATTCTTATATTATTTGTTACTGAAATTGTTTAAAATCGTAATTATTTTAATACCCATAAACGTAATTATGATACCTGTTGGGCGCCTTTCGTAGATGAATAAAAATACGAAAAAGTAATAAAATAAAGTATATGAATTAAGAGTGAAAACATTAAGTGAATGAGTACAGGTTAGAATATTTTTTAGTGAATATAGAGAAGAAATACATAAGATTCGCTGCGTACAAGAGGTTGATGTCGTTGATGACTCATTCGAATACAGTTATAGTTAAGAACTGGAATTGAGCTCTTCCTTTGGAGAAGATAGACCCTGTAACGACTGTAACGACCCCTGCTACTAGACCGTATAGGTTGGTGAATTTATGACGTGTTTACATTGTATATATCACGAGGGACTATGTATTAATGTTTACGTGTTCTGATGTTATTTAAGGTTGATTAGTGATGTAATTTCATTAGCTGGAAGGGATAATTTAATATGTATAATTATTCTACAAAAGTACAAAACTTATTAGTACCTATTTGTATGATTGTATGTACCATGTACCTAGTGTGTATGTATATTGTACATAGGGGTACATGTTTATCATCTAACATCATGTATGGTTCGCATTAATTAATTATCTTGTTATTTTCTTGAAAATATTTTATAGTTAAAAATAATTTTATAAAATAATTTTATGCCTTGTTCGTTTTGTTCATTATATTAATTATAACTTTATAAGAGCCTCCAGAAACATTTACTAGTAAAATATTCCATTATTTTTATCTTGTGAAGATCTCGTGAACTTTTACACCATAATTGTATTATTTTCAATGTTTTTAATTAATTAAAATAATGACTCAATTACTATACGTGCATTGTAAAAAGCTTCACTTTCCTATATAGCATTTATAAATTTGAAAGCCTAAAAACATGTCAGAACTCGAAGAAATTAAAAACAATCAGTGGGTTGACCAGGTACTATAACATTTATATAATATTTTAAATTTGTTTGATTTTTATAAATGCGCTTTGTGTACTAGAAATTGAATTTTTCAAAGTATTAAGATAGATATTCCACCATTTTCGCATGAACTTATTRTATTATATTTGTAATCTGACTACTGGATTAGTCTTAAATGTTTGTACATGAATATTTTAAGAAAATTTCTTCTTTGGAAAGAATATTACCATTGAAAATAAACCAAATGTTTTAGATTCTGAAT